GCTGCATAATATTCCATTGTGTATATATCTTCTTTATCTTCTTCCACATCTTCTTTATCCATTCATCTGTCGATGGACATCTTGGCTCTTTCCACAGTTTGGCTATTGTGGACATTGCTGCTATACACATTGGGGTACACGTACTCCTTTGGATCCCTACATTTGTATCTTTGTGGTAAATACCCAGTAGTGCAATTGCTGGATTGTAGAGTAGCTCTATTTTCAACTGTTTGAGGAACCTCCATACAGTTTTCCAGAGTGGTTGCACCAGCTTGCATTCCCACCAACAGTGAAGGAGGGTTCCCCTTTCTCCACATCCCTGCCAACATCTGCCATTTCCTGACTTGTTAATTTTAGCCATTCTGACTGGTTGAATTAGATGATTCTTAAAAAGATTATTCTTATATATAAATATGTACAACAAGATACATGTTCCTATCTCGTAAAAGGAATTTTTAGGTGAAAGAAATTCTCATTTAAAAGTAAACAGCTGATGAGTGACATAAGCAAGATGGTTGAGTAGGAAGTCTTGGACCCTTCTTCCCACAAACACACTAATTCAGCAGAAATTCAAAATAAATTCCCTTTGTGAGAAACTAGAAACTAACTGAAAGGCTCTTACACCCTAGGAGAAGGCAAAACCAGACGCAGTGAAGCTGGTAGGAAGATCTGGGACAAGCTCCCACAAAAGCTGGAGACCCTGACCCCAGTGCAGCACCATATGATCCAGAAGAGCTCCCAGCTTCACCCAAGGAAGAGGAGCCATTGGTTCACATATCCACCAGTCCAACTTTTCCAAAAGGCCTCCCCAGAAGATTTGCTCTTGTCTTGCCAGTCTTGGAGCTCTGATGATTCTAGCACAGCCTAGTTGTTTAGATAGAATAAAGGTGGTGGCTTGGGCTGGTAGATGCCAGTGATCCTCCCCTCTGCTGAGCAGGGTAGATTAAAAATCCCAGCTCTTAGTTTCCCCCTGGAAAGGGAAAGAGATTATCCATGCATCCAGCACTGCAGCTTTTCAAGAACAAGCATGTGTCTTGTCAGTCCTGGAGCCTGGAGAAGAAAAAAGTCCATAGAGGTCCAGAGAATATCTGGCTGGACTCACTGGCAAGGGTCTTCTCCTGTACAAGGCCAGTATGTGAAGACTGAGAAAGCAGCATGCTTTGTCTATTGCACAGACACCAACACACAAAGTCCAAATGAAAATTTCATAACTAAAAAATACAATAACTGAAATAAAAAGCTCAGTGGGTCAACTCAAGAGCTGAAGGGAGGAATGAAAGGAAAGAATCAATGAATTGAAAGACAGCAATGGAAATCACCCAATGAACAACACTGAGAAAATTGACCAAAAAAATGAACCATTTCAAGGACCTGTAGGAATAAAAAAACAATCTAATGGGGTACCTGGGTGGCTCAGTCAGTTAAGCATGTGACTTCGGCTCAGGTCATGATCTCAGGGTCCTGGGATCAAGACCCACATTGTCGTTGGGCTCCCTGCTCAGCCAGGAGTCTGTTTATCTCTCTACCTCTGCCCCAACCCCCTGCTCATGCTCCCACTCACTCACCCGCTGTCTCTCAAAAAAAAAAAAAAAAAATCTAACATTTGTGTCCCAAAAGAAGGGAAAGGGACCATGGTTAAAAAGGTACTCAAAGATGTAAGACTGTTGAATCACAGATCTGTACTTCTGAAACAAATAACGCAACATATTTTAAGAAAAAAGAAAAAGAAGAAGATAGCAGGAGAGGAAGAATGAAGGGGAGTAAGTCAGAGGGGGAGACGAACCAGGAGAGATGATGGACTCTGAAAAACAAACTGAGGTTTCTGGAGGGGAGGAGGGTGGGGGCATGGGTTAGCCTGGTGATGGGTATTGAGGAGGGCACATTCTGCATGGAGCACTGGGTATTATGAACAAACAATGAATCATGGAACAGTACACCAAAACAAATGATGTAATATATGGTGATTAACATAACAATAAAAAAATTAAAAAAAAAGACATAAAAAAGGTACTCAAAGAAATAATGCCGGAACATTCCCAAATTTTTAGCAAGAAACACTAGCCTATAGATGCAAAAAAAAAGTGAACCTCAAACAGGATAAATCCCAAGAAATCCATGTCAAGAAACATCATAATTAAACGTCTAAAAACTAAAGACAAGGGAAAAAACCTTGAAAGCATCCAAGGAAAAACACTGTAGGGAAAGAAAACCAGTCTGAATGACAGGATTTATATCAGAAACAGTTGAAGCTGGAATAAAGTTGCACAATATTTTTCAAGTACTGAAAGGAAGTACTGTCAACCTAAGATGACATACTCAGAAAAAAAATATTCAGGCGTGAAGAGGAAACCAAGATGTTTTCAGATGAAGGAAAACTAAGAGAATTTGTTGCCAGTAGACCTATGAATAGCTAAGGAAAGTGAAAAAAGTGAAGGAAGTCAGGCACAAAAGACCACGTTATATGATTTTGTTTATATTAAATGTAAAAAAAGAAGCAAATTTATAGAGATAGAAAGTAGATAAGTGGGGCGCCTAGGTGGTTCAGTCGGTTAAGCACCTGCCTTCGGCTTCCGATGGGATCTCAGGGTCCTGGGATCGAGACAATGCACCCCTCTTCCCCCACTGCCCCGTGGGGCTCCCTACTCAGCAGGGAGTCTGCTTCTCCCGCTCCCTTTGCCCCTCCCCACTCCCGCCCCGCTGATGCTTGTTCTCTGTCTCTCAAATAAATAAATAAAATCTTAAAAAAAAAAAAGTAGCTAAGTGGTTGTCTGGGGATGTAGGTAGAGATTTAACTGCAAATGGGCAGGAGAGAATTTTAGGAATGATGGAAATGTTATAAAACTGGATTGTGTCCATTTCTGGTCCAATTTCCAAGTAACTGAATGCAGGAACTCAAAAGAGGTATTTGCATACCCACATTCACAGCAGCACCAGGCACAACTGCCAAGAGGTAGAAGTAACACATCTGTCTATTAATGAATGAAAGGACAAACTAAATATGGTATACACATGCAATAGCATATTAGCATAAAAAGGGAAGGAAATTCTGACATACACTACAACACAGATGAATCTTGAGCGTATTATGATAAGTGAAATAAGCCATTCACAAAAAGACAAATACTGTATGATTCCACTCAAACATCTGTGTGGGCAAATTCACAGAAACACAAAGTAGAATGATGGCTGCCAGAAGCTGGAGGGGCAGGGATGGGTAGTTGTTGTTTAATGGGTACAGAATTTCAGTTTTGCAAGGTGAAAAAATTCTGGAGATCGGTGGTACAAGAGTGTGAATACATTTAACCCTAACATTATTGAATTATACACTTACAAATGGGTAAAATGTAATTTTTGTTATGTGTTAAATACCACAGTTAAAAATAAAATTTAAAAACAGTATAATGGGGGGCGACTGGGTGGCTCAGTCGTTAAACATCTGCCTTCGGCTCAGGTCACAATCCCAGGATCCTGGGATCAGTCCCACATCCGGCTCCCTGCTCTGCGGGAAGCCTGCTTCTCCCTCTCCCACTCCCCCTGCTTGTGTTCCCTCTCCCACTGTCTCTTTCTCTGTCAAAAGATAAATAAAATCTTTTTAAAAAAATAAATAAATAAAAATAAAAATAGTATAATGGGGAAAGGGTGGGGCGGGGGGGAGGGTAGTTAGTTGTGACCAAGACATTACTTCAAAAAACAGCAATGAAACAGTGACTAAGTTGGTGAAAAAATGATTGCACGGTGAAGCATTCAAAAAATTGATTTGCTATTAGTGTCTTCAAGAAATCCAGACACTTAAGCACTTACATTCATCAGAAAGGACAAATGATAATGTAGCATTTAACATGAGACTTTTTTTTTTAAAGATTTTATTTATTCATGACAGAGAGAGAGAGAGAGAGAAGCAGAGGGAGAAGCAGACTCCCAAGGAGCAGGGAGCCCGATGCGGGACTCGATCCCGGGACCCCGGGATCATGACCTGAGCCGAAGGCAGACGCTTAACCATCTGAGCCACCCAGGCGCCCTAACATGAGACTTAGATAGAGAAAATCTTTTCCTTTGGATTAATTTTTCCTTATCTGAGAAATCTTTTGGGAAGAGACAAAAAGCTTATCTTTCTTCTTTAGCATATGAATAAATAAAAGGAAATAAAAACAGCAAGCCTTATTATCTTCCATTTCTTTTAATCTTGTGAAAAATATTTAATTATTTGAATAAAAAATAAAATCATTGCAAGCAAAAATTTTAAAAACTCGTTTGTGGTAATGGTTGTAGGACTCTGTAAATTTCATAAAAATTGCGTGGGTGAATGACCAAGTGGGATTAATCCCTGGGCTGCAAGGTTGGTTCAACATCCGCAAATCAATCAACGTGATACAATACGTTAATAAAAGAAAGAACAAGAATCATATGATCCTCTCAATAGATGCAGAAAAAGCATTTGACAAAGTACAGCATCCTTTCTTGATCAAAACTCTTCAGAGTATAGGGATAAAGGGTACATACCTCAATATCATAAAAGCCATCTATGAAAAACCTACAGCAAATATCATTCTCAATGGGGAAAAGCTGAGCGCTTTCCCCCTAAGGTCAGGAACGTATCAGGGACGTCCACTATCATCACTGCTATTCAACATGGTATTAGAAGTCCTAGCCACAGCAATCAGAAAACAAAAAGAAAGCAAAGGCATCCAAATCGGCAATGAAGAAGTCAAACTCTCACTCTTTGCAGATGATATGATACTTTATGTGGAAAACCCAAAAGACTCCACCCCAAAACTGCTAGAACTCATACAGGAATTCAGTAAAGGGGCAGGATATAAAATCAATGCACAGAAATCAGTGGCATTCCTATACACCAACAACAAGACAGAAGACAGACAAATCAAGGAGTCGATCCCATTTACAATTGCACCCAAGACCATAAGATACCTAGGAATAAATCTAACCAAAGAGGCAAAGGATCTGTACTCAGAAAACTATAAAATACTCATGAAAGAAATTGAAGAAGTCACAAAGAAATGGAAAAACGTTCCATGCTCATGGATTGGAAGAAGAAACATTGTGAAGATGTCAATGCTACCTAGAGCAACCTACACATTCAATGCAATCCCCATCAAAATACCAACCACTTTTTTCAAAGAAATGCAACAAATAATCCTAAAATTTGTATGGAACCAGAAGAGACCCCGAATAGCCAGAGGAATCTTGAAAAAGAAAAGCAAAGCTGGCAGCATCACAATTCCGGACTTCCAGCTCTATTACAAAGCTGTCATCATCAAGACAGAATGGTACTGGCAGAAAAACAGACACATAGATCAATGGAACAGAATCGAGAGCCCAGAAATGGACCCTCAACTCTATGGTCAACTTATCTTTGACAAAGCAGGAAAGAATGTCCAAAGGCAAAAAGACAGTCTCTTCAACAAATGGTGTTGGGCAAATTGGGCAGCCACATGCAGAAGAATGAAACTGGACCATTTCCTTACACCACACACAAAAATAGACTCCAAATGGTTGAAAGACCTAAACGTGAGACAGGAGTCCATCAAAATGCCTAAAGAACACAGGCAGCAACCTCTTCGACCTCAGCCGCAGCAACTTCTTCCTAGAAACATCGCCAAAGGCAAGGAAAGCAAGGGCAAAAATGAACTATTGGGATTTCATCAAGATAAAAAGCTTTTGCACAGCAAAAGAAACAGTCCACAAAACCAAAAGACAACCGACAGAATGGGAGAAATATTTGCAAATGACATATCAGATAAAGGGCTAGTATCCAAAATCTATAAAGAATTTATCAAACTCAACACCCAAAGAACAAATAATCCAATCAAGAAATGGGCAGAAGACATGAACAGACATTTTTTCAAAGAAGACATCCAAATGGCTGACAACACATGAAAAAGTGCTCAACATCGCTCGGCATCAGGGAAATCCAAATCAAAACCTCAAGGAGATACCACCTCACACCAGTCAGAATGGCTAAAATTAACAAGTCAGGAAACGACAGATGTTGGCGGGGATGCGGAGAAAAGGGAACCCTCCTACACTGTCGGTGGGAATGCAAGCTGGTGCAACCACTCTGGAAACCTGTATGGAGGTTCCTCAAACAGTTGAAAATAGAGCTACCCTACGATACAGCAATTGCACTACTGGGTATTTACCACAAAGATACAAATGTAGGGATCCGAAGGGGTCCGTGCACCCCAATGTTTATAGCAGCAATGTCCACAATAGCCAAACTGTGGAAAGAGCCAAGATGTCCATCGAGAGATGAATGGATAAAGAAGACGTGGTATATATACACAATGGAATATTATGCAGCCATCCAAAGGAATGAGATCTTGCCATTTGCAACGACGTGGATGGAACTGGAGGGTGTTATCCTGAGTGAAATAAGTCAATCAGAGAAAGACATGTATCATATGACCTC